TCATATGAGTGTTTTATGTGGATATTTTTATTCTCTTGCGTATGTACCTCAGAGTAGAATTGCTGGATAATAACTCAGAACATTTTGAGGAACTGTCAGACTGCTTCCAACACTGCATATTTTTACAGTGGTATCAACTTACATCTGCTTTTTCTGTCCACCATTGTATTTTGGAGATTTCTCTAACTTACTACTTAGGTAATGATGTCATAGGATGCTTGTGTGCAAACAAACCACTCTTCATTTGCTACTCCCCTATTATTGGGTATTGTTTTGCACTAAAATTCCCACCCACCTAGTATTTAAACTCTTTTGGACACCACATTCATATCCATATATTCCACATTGTACTGTTCCTAGCTTTCCATTACTATAACACCACCACTATGAAGGGACTCCCAAAGGCTTCTGTCTGCGGACCAAAGCTATTTTTAGACTCTACCCCCAGTTCTCTTCCCTTTTATGCTGTGATCACAGGCACATCCTGACACCTCTCTGGGCATCGATCTCATCATAAATAAGAAGGGCAGGCCTGAAGATCTAGCTGATAGCTCTGTCTCTCTGCTTTGGTGTTGGTAACTCCCAAGATTAATCAGAAGATCAAGGGAAGATGCCAGCAGAGAGAAGAAAAAAGAAGCCAAGCCCTTCTCATGGAATCCTTACCCACCCACCCCACTATCTGCCACCCTTTTCCTGCAGAATGAGGTCAGAAACTCAGCATGTCAAAGCCCAAAAACCCCACCAACGCTCCTGAGCACCCCACCCTGCACGTCTCCTAGACTCAGACTAACGACTTCATTTTTACTTCATCACCTCTGTAAAGACCCTATTGCCAAACACAGGCATATTCTGGGGCCCTGGGGGTTAGGACTCTAACATATCACTGGGAGAGGGACATGATTCAGCTTAGAGCATCAAGTATGTAATGCAACTGGTGCAGTGCTTGGCACACAACAAGCACTCAAGTCACACCTAATGTGAGGAGGAGGATGGCTATACAGGGTGTGAGCCACTTTAACAAGTGACAAAGCCACAGCTCAAGGCCCATCACAAGTCCCTTTAGGTCAACAGAAAGACATGGGAGGCCCTGTACCTATGAATCATGCAGCCACTGGCTTCAAAGCCAGAGCCACATGGGTTCGATCCTTCTGCGTAGCAGATACCTACGGAGAGCCTGCACAGGTAAGATAACAAATGGAAAGGGCCTGGCAGTGGGAGGTGACAATGGGTACTCTGTCCTCTACCTATGAGGTGGGAAACCAAATGTTAGGTTCCAGTTTGGCCATCTGCAAACTGATCCTGGGCAAAGTATCTCTTGACTAGAGCTGATAATCCTACATTTTGGGTGCCCGTAAGAGGGAAATGAGAGAAGGTGTGAGAAAATGCTCTGTACGGGGCAACGTGCCCTGTGCGGGCCAGCGGTCCCCCTCCTTTCGGGATGCAGGGCCGCAGAGGCCTTCATGAGAAAGCACTCACACCCACACACCATACCCGATTCCAAGAAAACTAAGAGGCAGGGCCGTGTGGTTGCATGACTCACAGAGGCCACCCCTGCTTTGTATTCAAATCCTGCGGGTACAGGAACTGTGCTTTTTGACTATTCAACTGTTTGCTAACTACTCCCCCAGGCTGTGACTCGCACCCTCTCTCCTCTGGTCCAGAAAGGAGGCACCACAGCCAAAGAGGACCTGGAGACCTGCAAATCGCTGGGGAGTGGGGTGTCCAGAATGTAAACAGGGAAGTCAGGAGGGACAAAGATACTCTAGTTGGTGACACAGCAGATCACCCATCCCTGAAAAGAAGATTCAAGGAGAAATGTCCAGGAGATGGCTGGAGATGGTAGACTGGGGTCAGGAGAGAAAGAATAAATGGAGATGACAACTGCAGTGAGGCTAGAATTGAAGCCACAAGGATCAGGAGAGGAGAGGGGCTGGAAGAGAAATAGCTAAAAGGTGAAACCTCGGAGGATGCTGACAGGCAGGGTTGGTCAGTTGGCTAATCTCATTTTGCTTTTTTTTTTCTATGACATTTAGTATCTTAGGAAGAGGAGGAGGCAGAGGACCAGGGAGATGCTGCTGTCAGAAACAAAGGGAAATCTATGAAAGAGAGGGAGGTGTCTTAGTCATCTTGAGCTGCGCAGCCATGGACTGGGTGCCTTAAGCAATACACATTTACCTTCCCATAATTTTGGAGACTGAAAGCCCAAAATTAGGGTACAACAGGGCCAGGTTCTTGGGAGGGTCTCTACATTTTCAAACAGTCACCTTTTCACGGGTCCTCACATAGTGTAGGGGATAGGTTTGGGATGGGAAGGACTCACTAATATCCCTTCCCAAAATTCTATTAGATTGGGAATCCACACGTATAGCTGCATCTAACTTTAACTTCTTCTGTAAAGACCTTTTCTCCAAATATTGCCCCATTAGGGGGGTTAGGCCTCCACACATGAACGTGAGTGGGCAGTTCAGTCCCAGCAAGAAGGCAGAGCTGGGAGGAAAGAAGGATGAGAGCAGGGCAGCCAGAAGAAAGGCATTCAAAGATGAGTAGGAGGGGGATCCAGGAGACTCCTCCACGGGGCAGCAGCACAGCAAGGGAAGAGCCCTCCCTCCCTCGGCCCTGCCTCAGTCCTAAGTAGGAACCTGTGGAGCTTTAACTTTAAATGCAACTTTGAGAGCTGCCATAAGGTAGTTACTGTGAATTACAGGTTGTCTGGTGGTAAAATGCTGTGTTGCTTGCATTGTTCTGATCTGATCTGTTTTGTTACGTCCTCTTTGGTCTTAATCTCTTTAAAATAAAAAAAATTTTAAAAAAGCAAAGCAAAGGCCAACTTTACCTTTTTGAATGTTTAACTGGGGGTAGGTGTTTCCATATGATTCAGTGAGGCTTCCTCAATCAGATTATCACTTATCCCACAGTCTGAGCTCAGGCTCCTTGAAAGGAGACACAGGATAGGAAGAGCAGGACAAGGCAAGAAGAGGTTAGGTGAGCTCTGGGAGGCTTTCTGGAGAAGGTGCTTCTGGCTGCACTGAAGAAGGGTACGGGGAAGGGCCATGTTCCAAGCAAAATCATTAGTGGTGAGATGACCCTAATACATTGGACCCCCGCCCCAGGTAGAGGAAGACTAGAAGGCAACCAGAATGCAAAGGATCTGGAAACCTTGTCAGAGTGTCCAGAGGACAATGTGGAGCCATTGAAGGGTTTGAGCAAAAGGGTGACTTCGTTCAATGTGTTTTGTTTGCTCCTCTGTGTGTTCTGAGGATGGGAACTGGACTTTGGGTGTAGAAAACACTGATGGTGTGTGTAGTTCACCATCCACCTTTAGGAGCACTCTCCTCGTTTTTCTCACTCCTTTGATTTACATTTTGTTTGAAGTAATAGTTTTCCTGCTCACTTTCACCAAGCCTCCAAGGCATACATAAAATGAGGTTATAACTGGCATTTTGCAGAACAGAACAACAAATGAAAATTACCTCTCATTTTATAGTTATCATAACTGTGAAACTTAAACCTGACTGGCACAGTAACATAAAATAAAGCATAAATCTAAATATGGCCATAGATTCTTTTTAAATCTTAGCTAAAATACTGGCAACTTGAATTTAACAATATGTAAAGCATCTCACGACCAAGTAGTCTCATAGGGATATGCCTTCAGATAAACCTTTAAAATATCTGTGCTGAACTGCGTCCACTCAAAATTCATATATTGAAATCTTAACTCTCAATATTTCCAGATCTCACTATATTTGGAGACAATGCCTTTAAAGAGCTAATTAAAATAAAGCCAGGATCTTTGTCCAGTAGGACTGGTGGTCTTGTGTGGAGATGAAATTTGGACACAGACACATAGCTGTGAGCATACGGAGAGAAAACAGCTAAGGAAAAAGGAGAGAGGACTTAGGAGAAACCAACCCTGCGCATATCTTGGTCTCAGACTTCTAGCCTCCAGAGCTGTCAGAAAATACCTTTTTGTAGTTTAAGTCTCTCAGCCTCAGGGAATATGTTATGGAAACTCTAGCAAGCTAATATAACATGACCATAAAAAAATTAAAGTAACAAAACCATATAAACACATCGATGAACACAGAAAAAAAGCCAATTGCTAAAGTTCAGCACCTCTTAAAACTTCCATTGAAGGATAGCATACCTACAGAAAAGTCTACACATTCTAACAATACAATGCATTTTCACCAACTAACATAACTGTGTAACCAGCACCTGGATCATGAAACAGAGCTGACCAGCTTCTCAGATGCTTTTTCACACCCTCTGCTAGACCACTGAGACCGAGTTGTGGCCCCATAAAGGCCACCTGTTGAAGCTCTAATCTTCACAGTGATGCATCCTGGATCAGTCAGCTTGTTATCATCATGGTAAGCACCTGAGGACACCAGTCATCATCACTGAGATGATCAGTGTACAAAGACAAATATTTCTTTTGGCTCATGATGCTGGTCTGGCCAAGGTCAGTTGCCTCATTGCCTCTAGGCCTGTGGCATGCACCACAGTTTGGTGAGTTAACAGAATGGAAGAGGGGGAGCTAGGGTCACACAGTCTACATCAAGGGCACTCCCATGACCTAAGACCTCCCACCAGGGGTCACCTCTTAACGGTGCCACCATAACCCAATAGTGCATAACTGAGGACCCATGCCTTTAACACGTGGGCCTTTGGGGAACCATCTAGATCTAAACCATATTTCATTAATGTTGCAGGAGGTGATAAAATAGGTCCCCAATTTAAGATGACTGGTGTCCTTGTAAGAAAAGGAAAAGACCCCAGGGACTCACACACATACACGAAAGGCCAGATGAGGACACAGGGAGAAGACAGCCTTCTGTAAGCCAAGGAGACAGTCTGTGTAAAAAACAAGCCTGCTGCCATCCTGATCTTAAATTTCCAGGTTTCATAACTGTGAGAAAATAAATTTCTGTTGTTTAAATTACCAGTGCATGATATTTGGGTTATGCAGCCCTTTCAGAAGATGAGTACAATGCCAATTTCCTGTTTTATATAGTTTTTAGTTTTATTAATCCTCCCACATACACACACATACACATACAAGAGATATATTAAATTCCATAAAAATTACCTATGAGGGCACAAGGAGGAGGGTAATAAATGTAATTGTGCCTGGCACACTTTACGTGTAGGTATTAATTTTCATCATAGTACTAAGTGTACAAAGCAAGACATCAGATGAATTTAGGTAAATTTATAACATGCATGTGTATGCTTGCAAAAATACATATAACACATATTTTTAAATTTATCTAAATGGTATATAAAAAGATATCATTTAACACTGTGTGACAAACATCAATCTAATTAACCTCATTTAATACTAATAATTAAGAACTATGCACATTGAATGCATGCAACTTGCAGATTCTGACTGCTGCATAATATTTTATTATTGCCTGTATCACATTTTACTTTTCCATTCACCCAGGAGTGGACACTAGGGACTTCCAATGTCCTGACCAAAAGCAATGAACATGTTTGAACATGCTTTTGAACTCGAGATGTTCACCAGTGTGAGCACCGGATCCTTACATATGGATGCAATATCTTCACTAGATGCTGAGTGGTTCTTCCAGAACCACTTGGTCAGTCTACAGCAGTGACACACGGGGTTCCCTGGTTCCTCATGTACCTGTAAACTCTTGGCATCATCTAACTTTCTCATTTCACCAGGCGAGCAGGTACAAAGTGATAATCCATTGTTGAATTCACTTGTAGCCCTTATGGTGAGTTTGAGCACAGTTTCATATACATATGAGCCATTTTGGATTTCTCCTTTTGATAAGTGCTTATTCAGATATTTTGCCTGATTTTGTATCTTTTTCTTAACAATTCATAAGACCTCTTGCACATTAGTGTCAGCCCTGTGTTGACTTTACATGTGGCAATCATATGTGGCAGTATATAGCAGTGTGGCCTCTCAAGCTCAGAGCTCTTTACATTTGGCCAGATAATTTCTCATTGTGAAACTTTCCTTTGCATTGAAGGATATTTAGTGGCACCTTTCATTTCTATTCAAAAAGTGACAATAGTATCTACCACTCCAAACCAGCAATACGTTCAGAAATTGCCAAATGTCTTCCACTGAATAATAGTTACATAACTCATTAATTAGAAATCCATAATTTTAATAAAATTCATTTTCATATTATACCTTGTGTTTGAGAGGTCTTAACAATTCCTCTCATTGGTTAAAAAGGTTCACTTCTATTATATGCTATTAGTTTTATTAACTTCTAATATTTAAGCATTTCATTTACTTGCATATTCTGAGTAAAATGCGTATCCAGTGATACTTTAATTACATAGTCATCCAGTTTTCCAAGACGTCTACAAGTCAGTGGGATCTTTCTCTTTGATCTTTGACAATATCAGCTTTACTCATCAATCAAGTTTCAAAATCTGCCTGTATGTTATATCCCTGAGATCCCCAGTCTCTTCAGCTGAAGCACACAATTCATCTAGGACCATGATTTGTGATGCATCTTAATGTCTAGGAGACTAAAAACATAACATATATACTATGGGGTTACCAATTACTGTTATCCCAGTACCCTGTGTTTTTAAAAGTTGACTCAGCTCTTTATGGAGCTTTATTCATATCAGAATTAAACCATCTGAAATTCCCATTCAATTGAACCAAACTTATACATTAATTTGACAAGAATAAACATTTGTACAATGTTATTTCATCACAAATGTGGAATATCTCTCCATTTATTCAAAACTTCCAAGCCAGGGATATAGCTCAGCAGCACAGCACCCACCTGGCAAGTGTGAGGTCATGAGTTAGATTTCGAGTACCAAAAAATAAAAGATGTATTCAAAATTTCCTTTATATTCTTTAATTTTTCCTTCCTTTATATTCTTTAATTTGACAAATTGATTTCTACATATGTTTTATGAGTGGCATTTGCTGCTGAAGAGACATGTGTTTTAATAGTTGATATTGTGTCTGACAATACTGTTGAAATTTCTTATTAGTCCTAAAGGAGGATCCACTGATTGGGTAGGCTTTCTATGTAGATGATCATGAAACCTACAAGTAATGATAGCTTTTTCTCTCTCTTCCAGTCTTCATACCCCACTAACGATTTACTGGGGCTGTCATAACAAAGTACAGCAGCAATTTCTCTCTCTCTCTCTCTCTCTCTCTCTCCCTCCCTCTCTTTCTCTCTCAGTTTGGGAGGCTTAAAGTCTGAGATCATGATGTATCCAGAGCTGGTCCGTTTTGAGGCCCCTCTCTTATACGTGCTCACCTCCACATGTCTTCACATCTTTCCTTCTTCACTTGATGAATCTTCATCTTCATGTACAGATAGTAATCATGGTGGATTAAGGACTGCATTTAATGCTATTATTTTTTCAAGAGGCAATCTCAAATATATTCATAGTCTGATACAGTGGTGCTTAGAACTTTCATATAAAACTGGGGACACAGTTCAGCCCATAGCAATTACCCATTGCTTTCGTCTGACTCCAGCTGTCATGATAACTCAAAATTCCCCTGTAGTTTTCCAGCTCACATGGTGCACCAGTGTTCCAAGGCAAACCATGGGTGAGAGGAAAGAACAAGAGTCATACTCATTCTCTGAGGAGGCTGTCTCACATTCCTTCCACATCCGAAAGAGTATGTCCTTCCTCCCAAGAGTTGCAGGTTTGGCGCTGATTATTCAGTCCTGCATGCCATTGTCTCCTTTCGTAAGGCCTCCCAAGGGTTGATGGCAGAAGCCAAGTGAATGATTGACATGACAGAAATCTCCATGATCTGACTGTGCTTTACAAAGATATCTCCAGTTGTAGTGGAAAAACTGAATTAGAGGTGGAGCTTAGGCGGCTGCACAAGAGAGCAATCCATCTGCCCTCTTGGTAAGCGCCTCCCTCTGGTGCTTACTGGGAGAACCAGTCGGTGGCTCCCATGAGTCTACCAGCACTCAGGCTGAGAATCAAACATCTCGAACCCTACCCTACCCCACTTCCCGTTAGCAACTGGGGACAGAGATCTGAGCATCTCTTGGGAGGATGACCATATGCAATTTAGCAAATATGGGGGCTCTCCTTCTGTCTTCTGTTTGAAGACAAATATTATTTTCACTGTTTTGTTTTGTTCTGATTGTTTTGCTCTATTCAATATTCTCTTTCAATTGGTTTTATAATGTTCTGTTTTTGGTCTGATTTCACTCTACTTGATTGAATGGACAACAATTGTGAAGATAATGAGATACTATGGTACCTATTACTATTATCCCAGTATCCTGCTGTGAAGTTCTGTACCAGTTCACTGCATTATCTCGACTGTCTTTCCTCTGTCATGTTCTTTGTATTTACTACCTTCAAAATAAACAAATAAATAAGTAACTGAATTAGAAGTGTGCAATTTTGAAGGCAGAGAAGGTAGGTAAGGGACTACTGCAATAAATGAGTTATTGGCAATGGAAATGGAGAAAGATGCTATTAATAGGACCCAGTGGGTCTTTAGATATGAGACAAAAGGCAAGAAACAGGACAATGATCCCAGGGTTTCTGGCTTGAGCAATGGATTAAACACTGTAAAACTTTCAGAGGAACAGAGGAGGTTGGGATGAACTATAGAGGGTTGGCTTTGGACTCCTGAAGAATGATGTATCCACAAGACAATTACACAGAGGTGTTCAGCAGGCAACTGAATTCTAGACCTGACCCCTACAGAAGAAACCTGCGCTCGATAACTATAGAAGTCATCACTATGTGATCAGTAATTGAAGCCACTGTCAAATATCAGCTAAGATGAACTTCCTAAAATACTGTGAGGACAGAGAACAAAAAGGAGAGCATAGAACATGCTTCTCAAGGATTACAACATTTAAGGCTGCTATGAAGAGATGGCAAAGGAGGCTGAGAAGAACCCATGAGTGACATGGGGACAAAAACAATAAAGGAAATAAGAAAAAAAATTATAGCTAGACGAGACATTGAATGAGATAAGGACTGAAAGCTATTCACTGCATTTCGGGACTGCAATGGTTGATGCATTCTGTCCACTTGAGAGGCTTAGAAGCTTAACTAAGTGACTCATCAGGGGTCCAAGGTCCTCAATTTGTAAAAATCCTGAGCCTGTGTAAGAGGAGGGCACAGAGATGGTGTGAGTGCTATGCCTTCCCTAGAGCCGATAGCTTTCATACAATATAAGGGAGGAAAAGAGGCTTGCTGTGCCCTCTTTTTGCTCTTGTTGCTTTTGCTGTCTCCTGCTGCCTTGAATTGTTGCCCCTCTGCCATGCCACCCTGCTTTAAAGTCAGCTGAGTATGGACTAAAACCTCCACAAACTGTGAGCTAAAATAAACCTTTCTTCCTATAACTTTGAGTGTCAGGTATTTTGTCTCAGCAACAAGAGCAAAGTAATTAAGACAGAGACATAAAAATTACCAATGATCTTGGACCCCAGTAGGGGAGGTTGTCACTCTCACCAATGTGACAAAAATCTGGTATCATTAGCAACACCTTCAAAACATATGGCATTCTATACCTTTGCAAACAGTTTATACTGCACAACCTTCTTTCGTTTTTGGATATTGTGAAAATGAAGTCATATTTAAAAGAAATACAGAAAGGTCTTCAGGAAAAGACTCAGGGATGTTTTGACGTTTGATGCTAGGAATCTTCACATTCACAAAAACTAGTCCAGAGTCTGTCTTCACAGCTTCTAGAACACTCAAGAGAGTTGTGGGGCAGCAGGTCTTGACTCTGATGTTTGCAAAGTCAGACCCTTTGACAACAGAGGACACTGCTTCCAAAGATAGACCCTCACCCTCCCCACACCATCTCAAACTCCCTCAAGTTCACCTTGACAGCAGTTCTACGGAGAGACTTTTCACCTTGTGCTTACAGATGGGGAACCTGTCTTCTTGTCCCAAGAATAGTCTTTTGGCCATGACTTCCCTGTGAGATGCTTCTGGGCCAAACAGGTGCCCCACAGGGAAACCCAGGTGAGAAGAGTGCCTAAAGAAGAAAAAGGAAAGAGGCCTTGTCAGTCAGGGTGGGCACCCCACTGAGGTTGCTTCCATCTGAACACCCAGTGGTGATGACTTCCTTTGTTATGTGAGTAACACTCTTTACAGATGAAGAAGCTAAGATGTAAAGGATGAGACCTTACTGCTGACAATGAAGCCACCCAACTGCTTGTCCAGGGGCCTAACAGCAGTTCCTCAACTTCACAGGATCAAATGGTTGTTGATTGAGGTTATTGATGGCTTTATCTTGACCAGCATTTTCTAGGTTGCTGGGACCACTCGTGACTGTGCCCCTTCAATGGGGCTCCCCATTCAGTCTCTGGGTCATACTCACAACGCCAGTTGTTCTTCTGAGGGTGCCTCTGTGTCACCAGATAAGGACACAAAGGACCTGTACTACACACTTTGAGCAATGTCACCAGCTAACTCAGGGGAGCAAAGGTAGCCACACAGTGACTCAATAAAACCCTTTAGAAACTAAGAATAACCCTTTAGGGACTATGAAAGTCGTGAAGGATCCTGGACATCTTGAGGATAAGATGGAGTCTGAAGGAGGAGCCAGGAATTTCCTGTTGATTCGCATAGGAAGAGCTTCTGCAGTTAATCTGGAGAGAATTTTAAACTGCCAAACTATCCATCAACAAGAGAATAAAAATATAAATGATGGTTGGCACATGGTGAAATACCACGTAGCATGAATAACAGATGAAAATATAAAACAGAACCACATGTAAAAGAACATGTCCAGTGAAAATCAAATCAAATTGTAACAAAATGATATGGTTTAAAAGTTTGCAAAGCAATGCTTAGGGACCCAGACAGGATGGCAGGGTAAAAGAATAAGCAAGATGTCTGGGAAAGATAAAGACCTCATTCAAGAACCTGCCACCTTCTTGAGTAAGGAGGTGGCGCCAAGAAAGATGCAACAGGGAGAGGACACACAGGAATGTCACAGTCCTGGAAACGTCTAGTCTCTCAGGATAGATTGACTGCACCCACATGACACATTCTTTATGGCTTATTGCTTTCAAATATATTTCCTAATAATTTTTGTGGCCAGGCTTACACCCAAAACTGGTGAGACAAGTTACAGTGATCCTATTTGCTGATCCTATCTCCACTGCTGAGGTAAGAGGTCACACTTTTTTGAGGCTAAAACCACCCAGATAACCTGCTGCCAAATTCCCAGACCCCCACTACTGTGTACAACAATAATATTTATTGTTCTAATAAGCTGCTAGGTACAAGGTAACTAGTTACACAGGAAGAGAAAACCGTTGAGGTATGACTAGGTGTTCCTGAGCAAGGGCCAAGATACTATGAAAGTACCAGACTCTCTTGTGGCCTCCTGAGGACCAAATAGCTAAAATTGGTTTTGACCTAAAAAGTCCCAGCTGGTTAGCACAAACCAGGAAGAACGGGGCCCCAGCTTTGTGGGCAGGACAGGCACAGAGTTAACGATTTTGATGCAGCCTCAGCAGACCCTCTTGGTCAACTCTGCAGGGTTGTTTTTTCCAGTCAAATCTGCTTGCCTCAGGGTCCACTTCCTGAGGACAAGAAGCAGAACTTCAAGTTTCTCTGCAAACTCCAGAGCTCAGGTGGGCACAAAGAAGAGGCAGCTGATTTTGACATTTCAGAGAAGAGGGAAGAAAAAAAGTACCTCATCCTGGGCCAGGACATACCAAGCAGTCCAAAGGGACCAAGTGGCCAAGAATGGAACCAAAGACTCTAACCTTACAGCTCTCCTTACAGCTGGTAAGACACTGTTCCAGGTTTGAAGTCTCCTGTCCCACCCTAGACCCATGCTTCTGGTTGGGAGTCAGGTGAAGATGGGGAGGGAAAGAGGAGAAGGATGCCTGGAAAACAATTAGATGGAAACAGAAAAAGCATCTGGTACAGCAAAGGAAGCAATCTTTTCCCTGGACTGCAGCATCCAAAGCTCATTCAAAAAGAGAGCCCTGCTTCCAGGTGGCTAATTGGCTTCTCCCTGAAGGAGCTTTTAAAATTGTCCATGAATTGAGCATTGTGAGAGGGAGAGGGGTAAGATCAGTCACAGAAGCAGAAAGTCCCCTGGGTGGAAAAATGTGTATCTTCATTCTTCTAAACTCCAGGAGGAGTTTAGCTCAAGCCCATGGTGAAGAGGCAATGTACCACATTCAGAGTCATTGCCCCAGAGCTAATACAATCTATTGTCCCCATTCCTGGGGGACAGGGATGGAGGACAGAATAAGTAATTTGGTCATGGACCACACTATAATAAAAAAAAGTGCAATTTCTACAAAAAAAAGGATTGAAAGAGTTTTTTGTTGTTGTCCTTTTGTTTTGTTTCATTTTATGATATTTTTGTTTGACTTATAATATTTTAAGTGTTTTAACAGATCAAAATTTAAAATAGAACTTAGCATTTTACACTGAAGTCACAGAGGCCCCAAATTGTTCCCTTAGAGTGGCTCTAAAGACCCACTCCATGACCAGATGGGACCCTGAGGTTCAGAAAAGGGAAATGTGGAGCCAAGGTCATAGCAAGGTCACCTTCCAGGGGAAGCCCCTATGAGCACTGGATTTAAATGTGTCCCACTGAAATGGGGGTGAACATGTGTGCTAGGAGGTGGGCACTGATTAGCTACCAACACCAGTATCACCTGGGGAAAACCCACCCAGATCACACAGGTGCTGGTAATGGAACAAGCTCTAGAAAACAAGAGCTCCAGACCAAGCAGAGCTCATGACCAGGACCAGCACCTTGGTCTCTGGGAACTGACTTCTTTCAGCTCTGGGCCCCACATGGACTTTCCCAAAAACTAAGGCTGGGAGCAAGTCAGTTCAGAAATAAAGCAGCAAGTGCCACTTGAAAGGGAAATGGCCCTAGGCTGAATAAAAAGGCAGCAGGTAAAGTGATTCAAAACCAGACAGACCTGGGTACAAATCCAGTTGTGTGACCTTAGGCAAATCACTATGCTTCTCCAAGCCCCCACTTTGGCTTTAAAATAAAGATAATAAATATGCATTTTAGCTTCCTGGGAGCTCAAAGTACACAGGAAGTGCTTAACAATTGCTTTTAATTCCTGAATTCTGAACTAAGAAAAGGGTAAAACACCCCATGCATGGACACAGACACATCACCTGCCCAGACTGACCAGGTAGGCTGTTTGTAGGCTTATCCTTTCAGTAGTCTTAGTGCATACAAACTTCCTGAGCATGTAAGTTCTGGGACAGATATCTAGTCCATCAAACCTGCCAGAAGCTCCACCACCAGACTGTTCCCCAGCTCTCCGGTGAGCCTGGTAAAATCTCAGTGGATTTCACAGACAAACTACCCTGTGCCTTTCCCCCACCCTCATCCAAACCTTTCCTGGCTGTGCCATGGACAGCACAGACAACAAACAGTGAGCAGGAAAGAAGGCTCCAAGGTCAGGCTGAACTGAGCTCAAATCCTGCTTCTGCCCCTAATTGGCCCAGTAGAGTTGGACAAAGTGGGAAGCCCTCTTAATTCTTGGTCTCCTCATCTGTAAACTACAGTGGTAATAAGTGCCTACTTTTCAGGTTGTTGTGAAGCTTAAAAGAGGAAACAGTGATTGAAACAGAATCAGCTGCCTAGAATAGGTTCCACTCCTGTCTATAGGGTCAGAGAGGGGACTGGGTCTCAGGAATCCTGTCTCTGCTGGGTGGTAACTATGTGGCCCGAAGCAAGTCATTTAGCTCCCTAAGCCTCTGTTTCCTCCTCTAGACAACATCTATTTCATTATCCAGACCTCTGGAAGCTTCTGATGATAGAAATAAAAGCATTTTCCTAACTCTGTATTACTGGACAACTCTCAATTGTAAAATGATTTCATTCCACCATTATCCAGAATGCAGGCAGGAAAGAAATGAAAATTAGCAGTGGGGGGGCTAAGATAAAAATCAAAGGATTTTGAAACCTCCAGCAGCACAGATAGCACTCCAAGTACAACACTGAAAGCCCATCCAAAACCATGTTCTGTCATTGCTGTTAGGGTAGTTCAGGCTTTAGACAGATTTATCTATTTTCTGAGAACATTTTTCTTGATTCTAGTGTTATTAGACAGTTAAATGCTCTGGTCAAGAGCTTTAGTAGGAGCATTCCTTTGAGTGATTAGTCAGGAGCCAAGATAAAATTCAATGGTACAACACACATAAGGCCAGTCTAAAGCAATTTTGGTTGTTCCCACAAATAGAATGAAGGAGCCAAAAGGAGGAAAAAAAAATCTCAAGAATATTTAGAGCTACCTGAGAGCATCAGTTCTGGGAGTGTGCTAGCCTTCCAAGTCTTGAAAAATGATCAGAAGCAAGAGCTGTAGTGCCATATGCATGCTGGTCAGAGCCCAGTGCTGCCCTCCAAAAGGCACCTGATCCAGAGACTCCTCATCCACAAACAGGGGTAAGGAGGTGGACCTAGAGTCTGTTGTTAGGGTTAAGTGAACAAAACATGCAAAGAGCTTACCAAGGCACGTACCACACAGTAAGTACTCAATAAGTGACTTTTTAAAAGTAGCTCCGCTTGAAATTTGGAGGCCTTATAGTACATTTATGCTTGTAACTGACCTTCCATGTAATAGAAAATGAGCCTTCTAAATCCAAAATCTGAAACTTGTAGGATACCAATGTGACCCTCCAAAAGTTTCAGGTCTCAGAACAGGCTTTCAGATTAGAGAGGCTCAGATGGTAACATCCATGAAAATATTCCAAGATTCACAAGTCTCCAAACTCTGGAATACTTCTGGTCCCAAATATTTTGAGTAACAGATACCTAACCAGTACTTCCTTTTACCTTCCCTGATTACCTAAGAAGAGCTACGGATGAAGCCTCACTAGCACCACTTCACTGTCTAGAAAACTAAATCTTGCAAAAGCGAAATGACTCACCCAAAGTCATCCCAGAGTGAACAGTGTGAGGGCACTAAGCCTGGACCCAGGCTCCAAGGAACAGGCCCCAAGCTACCACAGCCACATAGCAAGAGGCCAAGAGGA